TTTGGATATTATTGATCCTCGTCTCAAGACGAAGAGAATGACATTGGTCCCGCCGGAATCGGAAAAAGTTCATTTTCCGGCGACTTTTACCGGCGAGCGGCGGCGGGGCGTGGAAGAAAAGAAAAGAAGAAATGGGGTCAAATTGAAAATTTTAAAATATATAAAATTCGAATTTGGCCCTAATGACCGGAAGTTAACCTAGAAACGGGCTAATGACTCATTAGTGAAAGGATTGTGTAAGTTCAGAGATTTTTGTGAAAGGATTTGAAGTTGAGGTACCACTTCAAAATTCCAGCTAAAGTTCAGGTACCATTTATGAAATTTACCCTACATACTTTATGTTTTCATTTTCTTGCTTCCACCTTTATTTTATATTTCATCCGTTGTAACAATTTTCAACTTTCACATCTTATTTGTCCATAAAATATTTTAATTTGATTTAAATAGACACAATTGCCTTTTTATTCTCTTCTTAAATCTAACCGAACCTGCATTAACTACCACAACGTTCTATCCATTTTGACATTTCCTGAACCCTATTTGTTTCAATTGTTGCCGTTTCACATTCGTCAAACTTCTACAGTTTTTCATCTAAAAAGTCAAAACAAGAAATGTTTTGTGGAACGAAAGAATTACGTACATTATACCTCTCGACCTGCTGGGAGACAATCATGTTAATTGTCAAGCATATAAAGTCTCTATAAATATCAAGTGTAGACTTTACTTTTTGCTATCAATTTGTTATTAAATCATATTTTACCTCGTATCGCGTGACCGTTCGATCGGTTCTGAGGGACCTTAGAAATGAAGTTCGTCCTCTTTTTTTTTTTTAATTTATACCTCCCAACTTGATGATTTTGAAACTTCACTGCCCCTCCTATTTAATGCATGCTGTAGGTCACAGCTTGGCTACCTCCTCCCACTGTTGAATTTATTACGGTTTATTTATAGTGGAATATATACTACTATCTCCATCCCTAATTTAAAGTACATTTTTGTTCTCCAGGGAATTTAAGAAATACTAAAAATTGTATGTATATACATTATTATATAGAAACTTGTGTAAAATAAAAAATTATCACAATAGATTTTTAAAATATAAAAACAATTTATTGGCTTACAACCTTTGATTGAGTTTGGTTCCTTGATGTGATATTGAAGCCTTGTTGAATATTACTTCAGATATCCTAAAATTAACTTCTCAGTGACTATTTACAGTCGCAACACTTTGATCATTAATATCACAATTTATATAAAAATATATATCATAAACATAAAATATTTCAAAATTGTGTTTTAAAATTAATCTATTGATATTAAATTTATATGAAAAATTAATGTATTCTTTTCGTAATATAGGGTCAAATTTAAAAAAAAAAGATGATACAGAAGGATTAATTAATAATTTATATTATTTAGTTAATTAGATATTTTAATAGTTTAGTTAGATAGTTTAACTATTTTTATTTTTGAGTGAAATTATAACACTCATTCAAAGGTTTCTTTTCGGTTCTTTACCTCGGCGCTTTTATTAAACCGACAGGCTTATTAGGGATTGTGTGTTTGCTAGGGTTAGGATTTATCATCTTCATCTATATATTGAGTTGTAATCCCTTTTAGAATATCATGAATGAAAAACAATAATATTTTCACTCCTAAACCCTAATTAATCTCTCTCCCCTCTCCTCTCTAGCCGTGCGGCTCCTCTCTTCCCTTCTCCCTCATCTCTCTTTTCTTCCCCATCTCTCTTTCTATCAAATTCTTCATTTTCTTTCCCCAATTTCTCAATTTCTCTTCTCTATTCCATACGTTACCGTATCAAAAGACCACCTAAGTCGAACTGGGAAATCAAATTATTGTCACAACCTTCGAACTCAGAGTCATCAAACTTTAAAAATATACTCCCTCCGTTTGGAAAAACTCTCCCCATTTGATTTGGATGCAAAAATAAGGAAGTGTTAAATTATACTCCCTCCGTCCGGAAATATTCTTCCCATTTTCCTTTTTGGTCCGTCCGGAAATAATCTTCCCATTTCCTTTTTTAGTATGCTTTTTAAGGCTAATTATCAATAATACCCTTCTATTTTATCACAAATCTACTTTTTTCATACTTTTTTAATAATAAAATGAGATTTAAAAGTTTATAGTATGTGCATTTTTGAAAATTTTACATTTTTTTACTATTCCTTAATAAGCGTGCCAAGTCAACACGGGAAGAACATTTCCGGACGGAGGGAGTAGTTGATTTCCAATTTTGCCCCTGATTTGATGGGTAAAAGTAAGATGTGATGGATAGATTATTAGAGAAAAAGTATGATGTGATAGGTAGGATATAAAAAAGTAAGGGTAAAGTGGTTTTTTAATAGAAAGAGGAAGTGTTTTGTTGGAAGTGGAAAAAATGAAAGAGGAAGTGTTTTTGAGAACGGAAGAAGTAATTAAATATTTATGTGCAAAACTCGAAGCACCAATTTATTACACATGAGAAAATGTGCTAAACTATTAAAAGTTTTTCGTTGACATATATTGACCATATACTCCGTATGATTTTTAATTGACCTATATTGACCTTTTTAATTTCCTAAAAAGAAGTAACAAAGGAAAATGAAAACAAATCATAGTCAATTAAAAATCATAGTTGAGGCCTGAGGGGGGTGTCATTCATGAGTAGCTAGCTAGCTGGCGGTCAATTCAAGTTTCTCATCAATTAGTCTCTTTTTTCTTTTAATGCGTATGTTATTTAGCACCCATCCATGCAATAATTATGATATATAATTATTATATCTACATTTAATTTTCATGATTATTTGGTCGATTTTATAATTTTTTATCACGTTTACTCAAAAAAATTTACGAAGTACTTTATTAGTTTATTCTAATTTGATTATTTTTAAATAATAAATTAATTTACTTTATTCCGGAAATATAAGTGTAAAAGTTTTGAGGTGCCTTTTTAGATACAATCATTGAGGTAAAATTTACACTAAATAGAACTAAAACATACTATTTCCGTTTCTCAAAAGAGTTCCTCTTTTGACTTTGGGGAAAAATAAGGAAGTGTTAAATTGTAGTTGACTTTCCAATTTTGCCCTTGATATGATGGGTAAAAGTAAGATGTGATAGTTTAGTTGTTAGTGAAAAAGTATGATGTGATAGGTAGGGTATGAAAAAGTAGGGGTAAAAGTGGTTTTTTAATAGAAAGGGAAGTGTTTTAAGAAAAACAAAAAAATGAAAGAGGAAGGGTTTTAAGAAACGGAGGGAGTAAGTCATTTCCTAATGTAGAACTGAAATTTTTTTATTCTCAAAATAAGACTTAATAATGTCTAATGAGATAAATAATGCCAGTGATGGCGGACATCTACGTGAATAATAACTAATGAATAATGACTAATGCTTCTACATTGGAAAACAAAAACATACGAAGTACATATGATTCTATATTGAGAAAGTCATTATATTTTAGTCCTATTTAGGTAAATTCTCCATCTTTGAGGTATATACATGTAACATGATTTTGATTTTTAAAATGTAATTGGAATACATTGGCTTAATATAATTTGGGTGTGCCATCCGACCAAAAATAGTATTCTCATCGTATCTCATAGATCTTCCAGACATATTCACAGGCCAACCTTAACTTACTTTATTTGCTTATTTTTATCACTTATTTTATAAAATAACATAGTCTTGCCACATTTTCTTTTCTCCTCTCATTTTCTCTTCACTATATATCCATCCAAACAACTATCATTTTCATATCCTCTCCAATTTCAAGCATTTTATTTTCCGGAAACTTATCTAAATAGTACTCCCTTCGTCCCAAAAAAATTTTCACGTTTCAAAAATTGGTGTCCCTCAATCTCCTTTCCAATCTATTAAAAAAATCAGTTTTACTCTTTACTTTTTCATATCATATCTATCAAATAATACATTTTTTACTAATTTACACAACACATGCATCTTAGTTTTACCCATCACATCAAAAATATTTTTGGATAGTCAACACAAAAATATTACTCCCTCATTTTGTCATTTAATCAATATGTCCCTCTCTTTCTAGGACGGAGGAAGTACTAAAACATAGTGAGTTTCTAGGCTTTCTCAATGTTGTACTCGTACCATATATTTTTATTTCCTAATGTAATAAAGCTATTCAATGTCCACCGGTTATTGTTCAAGTAATAGTCTATCGCCACTAAACATTGTTTTCGCCAGTAAACATTATTCAAGTGTATGTGTGTGTGTGTCATATATATATATATATATATATATATATATATATATATATATATATATATATATATATATATATATATATATATATATATATATATATATATATATATATATATATATATATATATGCTGCACTTGCAATCTCATTATTGATGTTTCGTTACGAATTCCATCCCATTTTTGGCGTGCTTTTAACAGCATTTGCAGTAAGTATGACGCATGCATGCGAACACCAATTAAACTAGAGAAATGCTAAAGAGGAATCACAGGTTTTTCTTTTGTTTATAAATTTTCAAAAAAAAAAAGGTCTCATCAAGTAATTAGTGGGATATTAATTTCAAATTCGCATATGCCAAATTTGTGTGTTTTGTGTTGGTTTTCTTTGTGTGACTTTAGTATTTCTCACTAAACTGTTGGGTCAATTTATTAAAAAAAAATACTCCGTATAATTTGAAAAGTTTACCCAAAGTACTTCAAGAATTTTAAAGTCATTAGTGATAAAATAACTGATCTTTACCAAAAAAAAATACTCTGTATATCCAATTATCCATTACGTACAGTGACGTTATTTACATACTGGTAATACCACTAATACAAGTTTGAATTTCGAAGTACGGAGAAATGATATACTATACGTTTAAGATAAAGAAATATTTACACTAAATATATCTCTAAAACATAAGTCATTTTCCAATATATGACTTAAACTTTTTTATTCCTTAAATAGTACTTCTTCCGTTCCTTTAAACACTTCCTATTTTGACTTTGGGTAAAAATAATGAAAGTGTAATTGTGGTTGACTTTTCAATTTTGCCCCTGATGTGATGTGTAAAAGTAAGATGTGATAATTTGGTTATTAGTGAAAAAGTATGATGTAATAGGTAAGATATAGAAAAATAGAGGTAAAAGTAGTTTTTTAATAGAAAGTGTAAGTGTTTTAAAAAATAAAAAAAACGAAAGAGAAAGAGTTTTATCACTTTTATGGAACAGAAGGAGTATTTCATAATGTCTAGAAGGAAAGAAATAATGTTCAGTGATGGTAAATTTACTTGAATAATAACTAATGGATAATGACTAAAAGTCTTACATTGGAAAATAAAAACATATGATGTTATTTAGGGACAATCATTATGTTTTAGTGTTATTTAGGTAAATTACTCTAATATAAATATGTACAGCTTAGTTAAGTAAAATTTTGTTTAAAACAAAAAGATCAAAGTTCGTTCTAGTGTTTAATTTTAGAGTCTAAATTAATAACTGACCCTCAACATATTTAACGGATAGAAAAAAGATTACCTTAATCATCCTCATCTATTTGACCGGAATTGATTATGTAATTAATTAATATTATCCATACCTTAATTATATATTCCATCCGTTTCAAAAAAAATATGTTGTCCTAATTTTTTGCAAATTGCATAAAACATTTTTACAATATTTAAAATACCTAAAATACTCTCAAAATAACTTTTACTTGGAATAAACTGCCAATTTGATATATTTTAAACATTTCAGGTTGAAATATGATTAAAATATTTTATGACATGAGCAAAAAATTAGGACTACATAATATTGTGAAATAGAGGTGGTTCATAAAATGATGCGGAGTGTATACAAAATAATTAAGATGGGTCCACGGGAGTTCGTCGGCCGTCGGCCTGAGGCGGCTGAAACTGAGCCAACGGCCCAATACCGGCGGAGTTCATGTTGATGGCGAGAAGGGTGCCGGGGTCGCAGTTATTGATGAAGCAGGTGGAGGAGGGTTGTTGCACTTGACGATGATAATTCTCTCTCATCACCGCGGGGAAGAGGAACTGGTGGTGGTGGTTCTCCTTTGCGCCGCCGCCGCCGATGAGGGTGTGGTGGAGGTTGGAGAGCTGGGACTTGGCGGAGGAGAGGTCGAGCTGGAGCTGGCGGAGCTGGTGCTGGAGGAGGGAGATGACGCCGACGCAGCCGTAGACGGGGTCGCGGAGGCGCATGTCGGCCTCGTAGGCGAGGGAGTTGACGGCGTCCTCCCGCTGGTGCGGCGGCAGCTCGTTCAGCAGCTTCGTCACGTTGCTCGCCCCGAACACCTTGTGCACGCTCGCGAACTTGTGCGGCTGGTCCGGCGGGAAGTACGGCGCGAACACGCACTCCGCCTGACACTTCCGCCGCAGGAACTTGCACGCCGCGCATGGGGACCCCGTCGAGCTCGCTGTTCCCGCCGCCGACGACAATGACGTGGATGATGATGACGCCGCCATATTTTCCTATTATTATTTTTATATCTTTACCTTCCTGCAAAATATCCATACTCTTAAAAAATTTAGAATAAAACATAGGATAAACATCAGAATAAAAAATTTAAATTTTGATTCCAAGATAGAATAATAAGAGTGATCGAGTCTTAAATTATGAACAAAAAAGGAGTATTGATTTATGAACAAAATCAGCTTAATTTCGTTCCAAAAATGAAGCATTAAACAAAATAAGAAATTGAGAGGCCCTTTTGGCTTTTACTCGCTAGTTAATTAGCTAGGTTTGATGATAGTCGTAAAAGGAAATGCAAAGAAAAACTAATGAATGATAATGGTTAATTATAAAAAAGGGGGGATGGCATTTAAGGAGTAGAAAATATAGGTTGAGAATGACCTAATAATAATAATAATAATAATATAATAATAATAATAATAATAATAATAATAATAATAATAATAATAATAATAATAATAATAATAATAATAATAATAATAATAATAATAATAATAATAATAATAATAATGATAATCCATACCTTCTGAAAGATTTCGTGCCGTCGCCTCTTCCAGTCTTCCTCCCAACCCTTCCGCCAAAACCTTTTCTAATAACAATAATAATAATAATAATAATAATAAATGTCAATAATATTAATATTAATAAGACTTTGATTTTTGGTGTGGGAAAAAAATATTTTGTGGTTTCACAAAAACGCCGGCGGCCTTATCTCAATTCTCAAGCGTCCGACTAGAGAGAGAGAGAGAGAGAGAGAATTTAGGGCGGGGGGAAATATAATGAAGCAATCTTTAGGGGGGGCATATAAGTAGGCGGGGGGAGTGTGGGATGCTGGTGAGAAATTGAAGCATATAAAGATGGTGATTGCCCAAGTTTTGCCCACTTTTCTTATACTCATCCAAATTTACTCGAAAAATTTTTTCATTTTTGACTTTTGAAAGGGAGATATATTGAAGTTTGACCAAGGTGAAATAATGACAATTGAAATAAGGTAGATTTGAGAAATTTCAAAATTGGTAGAACGTAGAAGGTAGTTAAGGTATGTTTAATTAAATTTAAGAAAAGTAAGGATAATTGTGTCTATTTAGACGATCGAAATTGAAATATTATATGAGACGAGTAAGAAGGGAATGTTCAAGTTTTTTTAAAAAATGCGAGTAGTACACATTTTATTCAACACAGAGTTTTAAAAAATTGAATTGAGTTTTCAGAGGGAGCAAAAACGGCAAAAATGGAAAAAGATAACTACAGGGGAGTATTTTTTTTACGACGTCCTGAAAAATGAGAAATATTAATTTGAAATGGAAAAAGTATTTATTATGTTTTGACCATTTTCGGTCTCATAAAAAAAAATTTATACTTTCTTTTTTATCTGATTCAAAAAACATATTTTTTATTTTCAGAAAATAATTTGTGGCTCTTACAATTCCTCTATCCTCTTCATCGTTTTTAGCTACATAATTTCATGTGAATTCAAAGTTTGTGGCTCTTACCATTCATGTGAATTCAAATGTGGAAACATTTTATAGGCTAGAGAGAGTACTTAATTTAAAAGTGTATTTTGCGTAACAATAGGAAAATGTGTTAGACAATAGATGATAGTTTTTATATTTTGGTTGTGAAGAACAAATTCAACCAAAAGCTTAAGCTTGTGATTGTGGCAAGGAATAATTATTTATATTCTAACACGCCCCCTCATGTGCAAGCGTAGTCTTCTTTGAGCCTTGCACGTGAAACCTTAATTTTTTTAAACTGGTTGGCACTGAGTTTCGAACCCGTGATCTCTTAGTCAACGAGGCTCCGATACCATGTGAAGGAACCCATTCAACCAAAAGCTCAAGCTTGTGGTTGTGGCCCAGGAAATGTTTCTTACATTCTAACACGCCCCCTCACGTGCAGGCGTAATTTTTTTGGAGCCTTGCACGTGAAACCTTAATTTTTTAAAACATGGTGGCGCTGAGTTTCAAATCCTTGACATGGTATCAGAACCTCGTTGACTAAGAGGTCACGGGTTCAAAACTCAGCGCCACCCAGTTTAAAAAAATAAGGTTTCACGTGCAAGGCTCGAAAAAGACTACGCCTGCACGTCAGAGGGCGTGTTAGAATATAAATAACTGTTCCTGGGCCACAACCACAAGCTTGAGCTTGTGGTTGAATTGGTTCCTTGACATGGTATCAGAGCAGGTTTTGGCCCACCTCGTTTGTCAAGGTGTCCGTCTAGACGTTCATTCCTAGCGGCCCGTTAGTCTTTAGCCCAGTTGTCCGTATGGAGTATGTACCCAACGGCCTGTGGCCCGTTTAACACGATTGCTCGTCTTGAAGTCCATACCCAGCGGCTCGTGGTCCTTTAAGTGTTGGCGCTCAAATACAAAAAATCAAGGGAATGAGAGTTCATTTGCAAGTGGTCAATCGGTTAGATTCAAAATGGCCCGGTTGTCCACTTGAGGGGGAGTGTTAGTGTCATCCCACATCGGAAGTTCAAGAGCAAAATAATCGGTATATAAGCTTTTTAGTTGAACTAACCAATCGATTGGATTCAATCTTTTAATGTCGTTCAACTCAAGTGTCTTATTGCCCAATCCAGATGCTCATACACATCCTAAATTCTATCATTAGTCATCTTTTATTATGAATTCTTAGTCCTAGTTGAGATTGTACCTCTTTAATACAGAGTGTATACACTCTAACACCCCGACCTGCATAACCCAAATACACGAAACAGTAGATCGGGTTATGATCACTAGATTGACATTGAAACACAATAATATTTAAAATAATTCAAAATAAATGTTCCAAAACATTAATTAAACATTGACCGGCCTGGTGCGGAAGCTTAAGTACCTAAATCAAAATACAACATTCGGTCTTGCCCAAAAACATAATAAATTCATACTTAAATATTTAATTAAGTAAACTCTTCAGCCAGCATCCATCCATCTCTTTGTTCGTGCTGCCATCAAGGATTGTTTCCAAAATCTTCATTCATGTTACCTACGTGTAGCAAGTAAAATAAACTACACACTAGTATCACATAACTACATAATCATTCATTGCAGAAGTAGTATCACATAACTACATTAAATAATATCAACAATATCATAACAAATCACACTTCATGTTACTTACCTTGATTATTCGACCGCATCTGTTATCATCTCAACATACATATCATGTTCTTACAATAGCTCATCGATCTCTATCACATGCTCATAAGATATTCTAGGTCAAGACTTAAGGCTAGCTACTTTAATAACAGACACTTAGATAACACATTACAACACGACTTTACCAACGTAGGAGTTCTCTGATGGGTGGGTGGCATCCTTGTCCCTTCGGAATGACAGTTTGTGGATCTCATACGTACGTTTTAACTCGCAGTCATCAGATGTCAGATCCACAAGGTTAATTTGGCTTAGATTTGAAAGTTTTGTTGTAAAAAAAAGAGAAGAAAAAAGAAGCTAAGGTTAGTGAGCCAATTGGAAAAAAATCTTAAAAATTTATATACATAAGGAGAATAAAATATTTTATTCAATAATCATTTTTTTTGCTAATTACTGAAATAAGAAATAAATTTAGAATGTGCTGCAGACCTGGATGAATGATGTGTTTTATTTCGGATCGGATGAGAAGAAAAAAAAGTAATATGTAAAAAAAGAGGGGTATTAGGTTTCTTCAAAAAAATTGATCAAGAAGAAATAATGTTAAGACTAACTTGTTATTTTTTTAAAATGTACTCCGTAGGTTGGAATTCAAAGGATCAAAACGATTTGCTACTTTTTAAATTTTTATAAAGAAAAAGGTGTCAATATGTTAACTTCTTGTATAAAATCATAATGACCAAATCACCAAAACATATGGGGGAAAAAATTCTGATCAATGATTTAAAAAAACTTTACAAAAAATTTTTTTATTAATAAAAAAAGGTCGAATGTATTTGGTTATTTAATTTTTCACTCTTCACATTAGAAGCTAAAAGTAGGGATGTAAACAAATCAAATATTTTAAATTCGATTCATGATTCGTATTTGAATATGATGATTCGAATTCACGTTATTCAAATACAAATTCAAATTCAAATATTATTTTTGATTCGAATATTAATCAAATACAAATACAAATAGGGATATATTCGATTCGGATGATATTCGAATATTCGAATATATGCATATATACACAGACCATGTTTTCAACATCAAAAGTCAAGCAAATTAAAGTAATATACGGAGTAGTATCAAGTTTATTTAAAATACTAAGAATTCAATAAATTAACGTAACACAAAAATCTAAAGCATATGATTTTTAATAGTTATATTTTATAAAATATAATTTGTGTAAGATGCAAATGTATTAATGTTTTTATATAGGGAATATAGTATAGTATAAAGAATATCGTAAGTTAAATTACAAATTGATGTTGGTCCATCATATAAATTACATAGTATGATTATTCAAATATTCGTTTATGATTCGATAACTATTCGAATATTAATCAAATATTTATTCAAATCTTATTTTGAATTCGTCTCATATTCGAATTCGGATTTGTATTCGAAAAAACTAAACAAATACAAATTCAAATATATCGGTATTCGCTTCGATTCGATTCGTTTACACCCCTAGCTAAAAGTTATAATAAATTTATGATAAAATATAATTATAATATCATATCTAAATAAAATAAAAATAAAATTTGAAACGATAATGTTAAATATAAGTTATATTAATTGTAAAGTTGATTTTTAATAGTCAAATTTATACTCTAACTGAAGGTCTCGACGAAACGAGTCTAACGACGTATTTAGCGTGGGAATCCAATACAAAAGTTAGGGGGTTGACTGTCCAAATTTTTCTGGTCTGTCCCGGAACAAGATATTCTGGTGTTATCTAGTCTGGTTTCGAGTCCGACCCTGATTTTGTACACCCTACCACAACCCATCACAAAAGAGCTACACAAAAACAAACACCACACCTTCCTGACTAATCCACCCTTCGAGTCTCTTACATCCTCAGGATCTTGGAATTGGAATCCAGCACCACCATACTTTTGGCGATTGGGCAAACTCAGATTATTGCATCCAAAATCCAAAGCAATCAGCTAAACACTTCCACCCTCCAAGATCGAAGCGAGAGACGTGGAAGAAACCACGAGAGAAAGCGAAAAACCGTGGAAGAATCGCGAGGGAAAACCCATTGAGAGGTACCAATGTGTCTCCGCTCTCGCACTTCCATCTCCAGAATATCTTCATTCTATCTCAGACTTTAGTGGTGGCTGGTGAGTTCTCCATCCTTTTCTTGTCTGTTTCAATTTCATCTTTAATCTATTAGTTGTCAAGGAGTTCTTTTTCGCCCATATTTGTCGACCAAAAGACTATTCTAATTATTCATATTTGAAATTATCATTTCACATGTTTTTTGGTACATGCCCAAGTTTTCGACCAAAAGACTATTCAAATTAGTCTATGAAATCATCTTTTATAGCTAACGGTTTGATTCTATGAATGGAGGGAGAAAATCTACTTCAATTTAAGAGGAGATGATTTGTGTTGATGTACCACAATTGTAGCTTGAGTTCATAG